AGGGGGAGGAGGGAGGGAGGGGGGAGGGCGGGGCTTGTGATCTGGGGAGGAGAGAGGGGGTCTAGAGAGAGAATGAGTATTATAGTCTTTACATGTGTAAATTTCTTAAGCTTTGTGTTTTGGGGGCTCAGTGCATAGTTCTTACAAATTTAGGGGTTTTAAGAGCGTTGAAAAAGTTTTGGAGGCGGGAAACACGTTTTTATTGGTTTTGGGGGCTAGAAGCATTTTTCCCTAAAATTAATCTCATATTTCTAGCAACTCCCCACTCACCCACATTTCAAATTTAAGAAAATCAAAACTAAAATCCCCCCTATCCATTTCTCCCTTTTGTGTGTGTGTCGAAAACTAATATCATGTTTATTTTTGTTTTTAAAATCTAGTTCGTGAAAGAAATTGATACCCAATTTGTCATCTTGCTTCATTGGGTTGGAGGAAAAACATGTTGTCTTCCTCATCTTTCTACAAGATTTCCACAAGATGAGTCTCTTACTTTTTTTTTAACTTTTTAATTTTTTAATGTAGGGGTTGATCTGTTAGTATTTGTAGACACCATGCACATATCAAGTGTGTGCCCGTGTATAAAATTCTCTGTTGAAATGTAGATTTTTGATAAGCTCTTGAAAGTTTTGTTCAGTATATGTTATTTCTTTGATTCGGAATTATATATGAGCAATAATTCTAGAAAGGAAAAATTTCTTCTAGCCCCCAATTTTCTTACAAGTATCCCCCCCCCCCCCCCTAAAGACTTTTTCAACGCTCCCAAACCCCTAAAAACAAAGCCATAATTTCCTGAGCCCCAAAACACAAAATCCAAGAGTTTAAAACATGTGAAGACCATAATGCCATTTCTCTCTCTTTCTCTCTCTCTCTCTCTCTCTCTCTCTCTCTCTCTCTCTCTCTCTTGCTCTCTCTTTTCATGATGTTACTGTGACGATTTGAAATGGATTTTGGGGGGAAAATTCTATCTCCCTCCAATTTTTTTTCAACGGTGTCGACATCGGTGGTGAAACTTTCCCGCGTTCATTCACGAGGCAAAGAAAACTATAATCTTGAAGACGGTGATAACGAGTTGCTTCGCCATTTCGAAGAAAAAGGCGAGAACTCTGGCGACCCTAGTGTAATTTTTTTCTTTTTTAACTTGCACTTGAATCTGAGCGCTATATTTTTTTTGTGATTTTACATTGTAATTTTTTTTAAAATCGATGACTTGAAATTAAAATAGAGTATGTAAATTTATATATTGTTGTTATTTCACTGTAATAAGTTTGTTGTTAAGTTTATGAGTTGGTGGTGAAGGAATGTTACGTGTTGGTTTTGAAGGTTACGAGTTGGTTGTGAAGTTTACGAGTTGGTTGTGAAAGTTACAAGTTGGTTGTGAATGTTACGCATTGGTTGTGAATGTTACGAGTTCGTTGTGAACCTCAGTAAGGAGTTGATTGTGAATGTTATGAGTTGGTTGTGAAGGTTACGCATTGGTTGTGAAGGTTATGAGTTTGATGTGAATGTTACAAGTTGTTTGTGAAGGTTACGAGTTGGTGAACCTTGGTAAGGAGTTGGTTGTGACAGTTACGAGTTGGTTGTGAAAGTTAGTTAACAACAATCACAATCAACTCATTGCCAAGGTTCACAACCAACTCGTAACCTTCACAAACAACTCGTAACCTTCATAACAAACTCAT